CCTTCTCCTCTCCTCCTGCCTCCCTCCCTTCCCTCTCCTCCTCCCTCCTCTCTACACCCACCCGCCCGGCTTTTTTGTTTTTGTACTTTCCCGTTCTCTTCCTGACTTGTGATCCCCCCTCCCTCCTCTTCCTACCACCCCCCGCTTTTTTTTGTTTTTTTGAGGCAGGGTCTTGCTCTTTTGTCCAGGCTGGAATGCACGGGCATGATCATGGCTCACTGCAGCCTCGACCTCCCGGGGCTCAGGTGATTCTCCCACCTCAGCCTCCCAAGTAACAGAGACTACCGGCGCACACCACTATACCCAGCTAATTTTCTATTTTCATAGAAATGGGGTTTCACCATGTTGCCCAGGCTGGTCTCTAATTTCAGGGCTTAAGTGATCTGCCCACCTCTGCCTCTCAAAGTGCTGGGACTATATGCTTGAGCCACCACACCCAACCTGAGAGTCTTGCTTTCATCATTAGTAAGATGAGGATCATTGTATATAAAGAATTTCACACATTGCCTGGCACATCGTAAACATTACATGAACAATGTCTACTATTATTTTATAACTAATGTTATATAGCAACACCTGTACACCCCCAGGGTGACAGTGGGCAGGTCTAGGCAGCAGCTGCCATTTGAGATAGAGCAGGGTTGGGGTCAGCAATTCCGTTTCCTACCATCCCCTCTACCTCCTGGATCCCCCAGACCTTGTGCCCACATCAGTTACCATTTATCATTGCCCTTCTCTTGTTTTTCTTATAGTGAGGATATTTCTCTCTGAGCCCAAGTCTCCATCAAAAGTAGGTCAAGGGCTGGGCGTGATGGCTCATGCCTGTAATCCCAGCACTTTGAGAGGCTGAGGTGGGAGGATCACAAGGTCAGGAGATCGAGACTATCCTGGCTAACATGGTGAAACCCCATCTCTACTAAAAATACAAAAAAAAAAAAAAATAACTGGGCATGGTGGCACGCGCCTGTAGTCCCAGCTACACAGGAGGCTGAGGCAGCAGAATTCCTTGAACCTGGGAGGTGGAGGTTGCAGTGAGCCAAGATCACCCACTGCACCCCAGCCTGGCTGGCAGAGTGAGATTCTGTCTCAAAAAACAAACAAACAAAAAAAATGGTCCCGTCCAAACTCTGCATTAATTGTGGGAATGGCTTCAGCTCACATTTAGCTCTGAAACTGAAAGAAAATAAAACTACACAAACACTCCAGGGTTCCTGGGGAGTTGCTCTGGACTGAGCCGGAATACAAATCTCTCCCACTCCTGCTTCTCATCCTGAGCCTGCTGAGAAGGCTGCAATCTTACCTAAGAATGTGATGAAAAGACAGAGACACATCTTTTCATTTAAAGCCTCTGTTGGTGTCTTGTGTGGCTGATGGGTGGTGTGCAGGGAGAGTTTGGGGGCTGGAACCAGGCCTGCGGTGGAGCTCCTTCCTCAGAGTGGGAAGGGGCAAAAGCTAGACAAGCTTGGGTTTGGGGCAGAGCTGGGGAAGCTCACTGCAGAGGGGAGAGCCGGAATTGACAGCATTGCACAGAGGCAGATTGATTCCTGCAAGCTCGAATCTCTATGAGGTTTAGCAGGAGTGAAACAAGGGAAGCCAGCAGGGTATGAGAGAAGCCATGTGCCCATCATGGTCTGGCTTTCCTTGACCTACTTTTTTTGTTTGTTTGCTTGCTTTTTAGATGGAGTCTCGCTGTCGCCTGGGCTGGAGTGAGTACAGGGGGGCGATCTCAGCTCACTGCATCCTCCGTCTCACAGATTCAAGCCATTCTCCTGCCTCAGCCTCCCAAGTAGGTGGGATTACTGGGGTGTGCCACGACACCTGGCTAATTTTTGTAGTTTTAGTAGAGACAGGGTTTCACCATGTTGACCAGGCTGGTCTCGAACTCCTGACTTCAAGTGCTCTGCCCACCTCGGCCTCTCAAAGTGCTGGGATCACAGGTGTGAGGCACCATGCCTGACCCTTGATCTACTTTTGATGGAGACTTGGGCTTATAGAAAAATATCCTCACTATAAGAAAAACAAGAGAAAGGCAATGATAAATGGTAACTGATGTGGCTACAAGATCCAGGAGATCCAGGAGGTGGAGGGGATTGTAGGAAATGGGATTGCTGACCCCAGCCTGCTCTATCTCAAATGGCAGCTGCTGCCTGGACCTGCCTACTAAAAAACACCATTCATGTAGACATTGAATCTAAGATATGATTGATGGTAAGATGTTCTGATATTTAATACATTACTAATAAAGAAAAAAAGCCTGCCAATTAAGCGGTGACAAGCCATTGATTACAAAACAAGTCTCAATTCCAAACATATCACAGTGTGGAAAGGATGCATCCTAACATTCATGAAATATTGGATACCAGTAGGCTGGACTTGGTCTGTGGCAGCCTTGTGCAGTTTCCAACCTGCACAACTGTACAGAGCAGCTCTTAGGAAGCCTCCCAGGACACTGAAGAGCTTAGGCCACCAGGAGGCTCACACTTGGGGCACATCTATGAACTTCCAAGTCCCTTAAGAAGTAATCCCTCTTTGATCTTCATCTGAACTAGGAAGGCCACAAAGAGGAAACTATGGGCCAGTTTCCATATGGGGCACCAGTTCACTGACAGTGGTCCCAGGGCCCCTGGGACGGTGGTTCAGCAGGCATGGGGTAGGGCTTCATGAGGGATTCTGAGTCCTGCCAGACTAGGGAGAGTCCTGCCAGACTAGGAGAGGCCCCATACTCACAGTTATGCAGGCTCAGAGAGGTGAAGGCCCTGGCCCAACATTACACAGCCGGGCAGAACAGAGCTAGGCCGAGGGTTCAGCACTCCTCACTCCGATCCCTGGTGCTGCCTCTCTTGCTGACTGTGAAAATGTCTGCTCTTCTGCCCCAGATGAACTGGAGATAGGGGTCTCCAGGGCTGAAAGGGATCTTGGCCTGCCTACCCCTGCCCCGTTCCTTCCCCTTTGAAGCCCTGGTTGCTGGACTTGTCCCCAGAGAAATCACCCGTATTGATTCACAAGACTTTTAAATTTTATTAGTAAAATACAAAATGGCACAGACATTGGTGATGAGGGTTGGAAAAGTAAAAGGATCAACCTACTCTTTCCAAAGTCTTCCTAGATCATCCTTGTCCATGTCCTGCTTGGAGAAACTAACAAAGTCCATGGAAGGGGGACCAGCTGGCCCCAGCAGCTTCCTCACAAAGGAGGCAGGGCCCCATCACAGGGTGCCCCACCCCTGGAAGGCTCTCCCAGCCTGGAAGAGCCAGAACAAAGTGCATCAGTTCCACTCTCACCCTCTCTGAGCTGCCAGAGTGACCCCACCTGAGCCAGGCCCTGAACTTCCTGAATATACTGTGCCACGCCCAGCAAGGGAGTGCAAACGCCGGGCGGGCCGGGCCGTACAGCGTCTTGCTCTCTATGGACCAGAGCTGGGTTTCCTTCCTCCAAGCACCCATTTGTGAAGGAGTGTTCCTGGCACCTGGGTAGAACCCAGCCCATAAGAGGCCCCTCAGGTAGAGCAAGGGTCACACTCGGGGACAATCCAAGGGAGAGGTGAGCTGCCCCCAGGGACCCTGAGGGGCCAGGACGGCTGGTGTGGCCTCATCCAGGCATGCTCGAGCCTTCAGCAGCCAAAAAAGGGAACCCCTGACTTTATGCCTGCAACTTCCCCTTTCCCATGTCCCAGCCCCCTTCCCGGGTAGCGTCCCTTTCAGAAACAAACAGGGGCCTCATGGAAATCCCTGGTCCTGTCTGCGACGGGGACAAAGATGAAGGAGAAGGTCTTGGAGGGCAGAGAACAGTGTTTTCAAGGAGTGAGAGAGGTGGGAGGGGAACCCAGGCCTCATGAAAGAATCCGGCGTGTGGGGAGTGGGACCACAAGGGTCTTGTGGCCTGGCTGCCTGCAGGAGTCTCTGAAGAAGCATCAGGTGTGTGGCTGCTCCCAGAGCCTTTCCTGGGCTTCTTAGACAGGTGTCTGGAGCCCTCCCTCCTCCCCCTCTTAGGGGGTGAGGGGAGGCAGAGCTCGGGGTGTCTCAGTGACTGAGCCTGGGCGGGGCCTTCAGGGATGGACTCTGTTCTGCCCACCTCCATTTGAGGGCCCACAGGGCAGGATCTGTGCTATCAACTCACTCCCTCGCAGGCCCTCTGGGCCTCAGGGTCCAAAGACAAGCTAGTCCATTGGCAAGGACTGTCTAAGGTGCTCTGCTCATAAGGACTGTGAGGCTGCATCCAGGGGCTGGAGAGAAGGGCCTCAGGTCAATGAGTGATGTTAGGGGGACAGATATTCCTTACCTCCCTCTTTCCTTTCACAGATGGGAGTACCTTGGGGGGTTGATGGTAGAACTAGGATCAGAACCCAGCCTTCAGACTCAGCACAGTGTAGACCAAAGAAGAAAGCCACCAGATATCCTTATCTCCCCTTCCCACAATGCCTAACCAAGGGCAGAGCCTCACTGGGAGCAGTGCCAGGAAACACCACACTAGCCTCATGCAAGAAAAGACACGTCACTAGTGGGGGCGTGGGCTCTGTACAGAGGACGGGGCTGGGGAAGATAGCACCGCAGGTGGCCGGGGTGACTGGCAACTGCAGCAGAACCAAGAGACACAATGAGATTGCGGGGAGTGGGCAGAGGGCCTGGCCTGATGCTCGTGTGTGAGATGGAAGGACTGTAGTACTCACAGGGTAGCGTGGGTCAGAGGGGGCTGGGAATAAATAATTGTTCATTGGGGCTGGGATGGCATCAAAGGGAACCTCTAACCAGCCAGCAGCAGAGGAGAGTTTTGGGGCTGGGGTGAGTTGGGAGACCGTCCCCTCTGTCCCTGGCAGGTGGAGAATGGTCAAGGCTGGCCTCCTAGGGTGTGCCTGGGAGCTTGGAGCTTGTGCACCTGGAGGATCCCACCTCCCCGCTCCAATCATCCCAGCTCAGTCCAGGCCCTTGGGTGGGAGTGGGTATGAGGATGAGGGATCCCAGGCAGCTGTCTGAATCAAACAACTAGACACAGGCCGGAGGAGTTCACACGGGCACCAGGACATATGAGTTACTACCACAGCTCCGGGGGATGTAGCGGAGGCCCTCCACCATCTCTCCTGCCATCTTTCGAGGGCAGCCCTGGAGGCTCTGGTAGGCAAACATGGCCACCCCCAGGCAGAAGAGGAGGCCAAGGAAGGCCAGCAGCCCCACTGCCTGCCTCCGGGTGGCAGCCTGGGCGTCAGGGACAGGAGTGATAAGGACGCCCAGCCTCTGGGGGTCCATGGTGGCATGGATGGGTTCCTCAGCTTTAGGGGTCCAGCTGCCTGAAACCACTGGCTCCCTGCTGGGGGTTCCTTCCGAGGAGACAGGGACCACAGAGACGTGGGCCATGCTGCCAGGCCCCCAGTCCTGGAAGGCATCTGTGTGTGCTGGCACGGGACCCATCTCCTCCCGCTCCAGAGAGTTCTCTGGCCTGGGGCTCTGTCCCTGACCCCACACAGGCTGGCCTTCAGACGGAGTGTTCTCCTCTGGGGCTGGGGAGGAAGTAGTGGAGGCCTGGGTGGAGGAGGCCTGGGTGGAGGAGGCCTGGGTGGAAGGGTCCTGGGTGGACGGGGCCTCAGAGGTCTTTCCCTCAGCCCAGAGGCTGGGCCCAGGTTGGTGGGGAGCAGAACTCTGCCACGCGGCGGCAGTGGAGACGGGAGGTACTCGGAAAAGCTCCGTGCCCACAGGCCCTCCATCCTGAGCCTTTGGCGTCAGGGGGAGCCCGGTCCCTGAGGAACCAGTCACGCCCGTCGACTGCTCTGGGGAGGTCCCCAGGGCCGTCTGTGCCTCCCGGGAAGAAGGAGTTGGCTTCAGGCTACTGCTTTCGCCTGTGGCTTCGGGCTCCGGTACCGCAGACTCCTCCATTCCCCGGGCGGCAAGGGTGGTCCTGGGCTTCACCAGGCCGATCTGCTTCTCGAAGGTGCCGCCATTTCGAGTCAGAGCAGCAGCCTGGCGGTCCAGATGCTGCATCGCGTCCTTGACCCATTGTTCCTTCGGGTCGGCACAGAACAGCCTGTGCTGTCTCGTCTCCAAGCTACAGGGGAGAAAGACAGGGATCCAGTGATGTCCAGATGCCAGAAACCCGGGCCAGCGTGGTGTGGGGGCACAGCACCAGTGCTCTGCAGGTGAACACACCCGGCTGGAAACCCTGCCCTCCCACTTAGCAGCTGTGAGGCCACTGACCAGCTGGGGAAACCCGCCCTCCTAGGCTCCCAGGTCCTCACCCGAGAAATGGAGATAGGAAAGCCTCCCATCTGTAGCGTGACCACCCATCCCAGAAAAAATGGGATGCAGGGGGTGCTCAGGATGAGGGACTTCCCATTTTAAAACCGGGAAAGTCCCCAGGCAAACAGGGACGAGTTGATCACCCTACTTCTGTGTTACTGTAAAAAAAAAAAGCCAAATTATGGCTCAGAGCCGATCAGTAATAGCTGAAAATAATAACAATGTTGATAATATTGTTACCATTAAGGCAGGGGGCTCTGGGCTTTGAGTCTCCTGCTGGGGAGAGGACTTCAGGTGAGCTCTGTATGGGGCCTCCTCACTCTGGAACAGGCCTTATGAGACTTCGTGAGTCTTGTTGCTCTTCTTCGGTTTCACAGCTACAGGCTGTGCTCCAGGCCCCTCTCCTCCCCTCCCGATGTGTGTTCAAGGGCAGAAGGGGTTAGAGCCAAATATGTGGCAGCCTCATTGGGACCCTGAGTGCCCTCCAAATCTTGAACTTCCTCTGAAGCCGTGTGTGACTGGTTCACCGCCAAGCCCACAGCTCAGAGCTGACAGACGCCCTGGCTCCATGCCACGGCCTGTGCTTGGCATTTGCCCATGTTCAAATCTTACATCCATCCCACAAGGTGGCTACCAGGCTTATCCCCATTTTACAGATGAGGAAACCAAGGCTCAGAGAGGTGAAGTAAAGGCACCTGGCTCCAGGATGCCGGGAAGCTTGAGGAGTCCAGGAAGCAAGTATGACCCTGCAGGCCCCCTGGGCACAGCGATCCCCTCCCCCATTTCCTTTTTCCCTTTCATCAAGAAAACAAAAAATACTTGGGGGTGTCTTGGGGAAGTAAGCCTTGACCGATCAGCAAAGAAGCCAGGCAGGAGAACGCTCAGTACCTTGCCCACCTTAGAAACTGCATAATTGAGGAGAGGAAGTGCCAGACTTCCTTTAACTGAGCCTAGAAAGCAAAGGGCCATTGGCCATTTCCTGCTGCCTGACCCCTAGGTCTGGCTGAGGCTGCTTTAGGGCTCAAAAGTCAGTCCTGGGGAAAGGCCTCAGGGCTGGCTGGTTAGGCAGGACCTAAGAGAGCCCCCAGGAGAAGGAAGTGACCAAGATGGCCAGGGTCCTTAACAGCCAGGAGGACAATGACTCAGTCCCTCCCCAGAGTCTCGAAATGACCGTTTCCTCTTCTGTCAGATGGAGATAGTGATCTCTGCAGCTCCTACTGACAGACCTTGCCAAGCACTTTATTTTTAATTTAATTTGTTTTTCTTTTTTTTTTTTCTTTTTATTTTTTTTTTGAGATGGAGTCTCACAATATTGCCCAGGCCAGAGTGCAGTGGTGCCATCTTGGCTCACTGCAATCTCCGCCTCCTGGGTTCAAGCAATTCTCCTGCCTCAACCTCCCGTGTAGCTGGGATTACAGGCACCCACCACCACGCCCAGCTAGTTTTTGTATTTTTAGTAGAGATGGAGTTTCACCATGTTGGCCAGCCTGGTCTTGAACTCCTGGCCTCAAGTGATTCACCAGCCTCGGCCTTCAAAAGTGCTGGTATTACAGGCATTAGCCACCGCGCCCTTGCCAAGCACTTTAGTTACATCCTGTCCTAGCTACCCATTTTACAGACAAGGAAACCAAGGTGCAAAAAGTAAACAATGGAAGCAGGGCCATCCAGCCAGTAAGAGGGGAAGGCAGGATTTGCACCAGGTCTGTTAGAGGCTGGAACCTGCATTTTAAGTAAGACCCTCATGCTTTACGCCTACCCATACCACCCCATGAAATATAGTGGGTTTGAGTGTGGGGTAACATGTGCTTCAGTCCAGAAGGAATTACCACCGTTCATGGCTGCTCCAGGCCACAAGCCAGGGCGGCTGCCCCCCCAGCCACACTGGGCCATTCAGGAAATCACTCTCCTCCTTAGCCATGTGGCACAGAAATTAAGGTCAGTGAAGTGGCCTGCAGGCCAGGGGCAAGAGAAGCGTGTGCTGAGGCCTTCGCCTAGGAGACCAGGTCTGGGAGGGGAGGTGTGGACATAGATTCTCAGAGGTCTGGGAATATTTCAAGGGCCTGAAGGGGATTTCAGAGGCCTCGGGGGCAATACCTACACGATTGCACGTTTGCCGCATGATTCCTGGTTTTGTTGATAGTGGATGAGCAAAGCCACAGGTATCTTTGATGTCATCTTGCTGCACGTAATGTTGCATTTCGTCACGCCGTGGTGCTGTCCTGAGTCCAAAGAGGTTCCTGGTCAGCAGGGATGTCTGTGGGCATCTGGCTTCCCAACCCTGTGCCAGATTGTCCCGGCCACACCACCCAAGCCAAAGCTGATCACCTGTACACCCTGGCCTTCAAGGCCTTTGACTCAGCCTCCCTCCCCCACCAAACTTCTCTATGCCTCAGTTTCACCACCTGTAAAATAGGAACAAAGATAGTATCTACCTCATAGGCTTGTTGTAAGAATAAGAAATGTGAATTCTTATTTACAGAGTTCTTTTTGCCTGGCACTGGCACATATTAAAAGTTTGTTTGTTTGTTTTGAGATGGAGTCTCATTGTTGTCGCCCAGGCTGGAGTGCAATGGCACGACCTCGGCTCACCGCAACCTCCGCCTCCCAGGTTCAAGTGATTCTCCTGCCTCAGCCTCCCGAGTAGCTAGGATTACAGGCATTTGCCACGACACCTGGCTAATTTTGTATTTTTAGTAGAGACGGGGTTTCTCCTTATTGGTCAGGCTGGTCTCAAACTCCCGACCTCAGGTGATCTGCCCTCTTTGGCCTTCCAAAGTGCTGGGATGACAGGCATGAGCCACCATGCCCGGGTTAATTTTTAAAATTAACTGGTCCATTGTGCAGCAGGGGAGATGAATCTGAGAGTGACAGGGATCTGCTAAGGTCACACAGCCAGCAAGTGATGGAACAGGTTCTCCTACCAAGATGGCTGCAGTCTCCACCGGGCCTGTGGCCTTGCCTATCCCCTCACCTCTGCCTTGTTTCTTCCTGCTGCCTTTTTTTTTTTTTTTTAATTAAGAAATAGGGTCTTGCTCTGTTGCCCAGGCTAGAGTGCAGTGGTATAATCCTAGCTCACTGCAACCTCAAAATCCTGGGCTCAAGAGATTCTCCTGGCTGGGTGTGGTGGCTTACACCTGTAATCCCAGCACTTTGGGAGGCCAAGGCAGGTGGATCACCTGAGGTCAGGAGTTTGAGACCAGCCTGATCAGTATGGTGAAACCTTGTCTCTACTAAAAATACAAAAATTAGCCTGGAATGATGGTGGGCGCCTTTAGTCCCAGCTGCTAGGGAAGCTGAGACAGGAGATTTGCTTGAATCTGGGAGGCAGAGGTTGCAGTGAGCCAAGATCGTACCACTGCACTCCAGCCTGGGTGACAGAGCAAGACTCCGTCTCAAAAAAAAAAAAAAAAAAAAAGAGAGAGAGATCTCTTGCCTCAGCCTCCCAAGTAGCTGGGACTACAGGTGCATGCTACCATGCCTGGCTAATTTTTTTTAAGAGACAGGGTCTTGCTATGTTGCCCAGGCTGGTCTTGAAACCCTGACCTCAAGCGATCCTCCCACTTCAACCTCTGGAGTAGCTGGGATTACAGATGCAAGCCACCATATCCAGCAATAAACTTTTTAAAAGTGTATAAGTACAACTGCTTTGTAAGAAAGTGGGGTCTGATGAATAGATGATCCTTTGTTCTGCTGTTAAGAGCCAGAATGAGCCTGAGAGTAGTTGCTGAAAGGTACTGAGTCATCCTGCCTAGGAGGGAAGAGGCATTTGAAATTCCTGGAGCAAGAAGAGTAAGGAGAAGGAAGGGTTGGAGATGGAAGGTATGAATAGGGTAGGGGCAGAGTGGGGCAGAAGGGGCAGGCAGTAGCTGAGTGTCACGTGGAGCCAGAGAGAAACCACAGGACAGGACAAATAAACCCAACTATTTAATATAAACATTTGAAGTTGTTTACACTGCATTTCCACCTTTTCTCTTTGCCTAAAATCGCCAGCAGTTTTTTTTTTCTGCTTAGCGTGAGCTCAAGGAGGATGAGTGTAAAAATCAAGGAAGAGTTGGAGTTTCAGATCTGGGTCAAGGTTATGTGCAGCAAAAGCAAGACCCCAGAGGGTTTTGCAAACATCTGGAGGCCAGGGCAGTCAAGAGAGCAAGCCGATCTTATCTAGCACTTCAGAGCCTGGGAAACCCCCAGCCCATCCCTGGGCTCCACCAGAACACGAATTGCTCATGCATAAATACTTACATATATACGGCCATGCAAACATACTCCACTTTCCCAAATACAGGCGCATGCCCGTGCGCACACACACAGAGACTTTGTAGAGTCTGCTGCTTCCTCTCTCCATCGCTCCCCCTTAGCTTTGGCCCACCCTGCTTTGTGGGAAGGTGGCTTAGGGCTGGCAGGTCTGGGTTGAGTCATCAAGGAGCAGCATTAGTAGCTTCAGGGGGTTGGAGGCTGTGTGCAGGAGAGGCTCCCCAGGTCACAGGGCTGTCCTTTCTCTCTGAGTAACCAGGATATAAAAGTCACTGCGTGGGCTGGCCACCCTCCTTCTGCAATGGGACCTCAGAATGACGCACCTGCAGCCTCCCCAGGCCCTGTTGAGTGGAGCCAGGTGGCAGTCCCCTAAACTGGCCTGCAGGTGTCTTCTTTAGGAAGCCCCAGGGTCATACGGTGCCCCTCAGTGACCAGAGACAGGAGGAGGCAAGGGAGGCTGCCCAATGGATAACAAAGAAGGTCCATTCTGTGCGCCTCAAATCCAACATGGGGAAAGCCATTACCCACCTTCAGGGCTTTAAAGAGCCACAGAGTCATCCTGTCTCCAAAGTCCCCACTCTCTGCCACAGTCCCTGAATGGTCCTGGCCCGGCTAAGTTCTTGGTTCTGCCAGGAAGATTGTTTAACTAACCTGGGGAGCCTGTCCCTTCTCAGAGCTGAAGTTTTCCTTTCTGTAAATGGAGACAATGCCTCATCCAGCCAGTCATCTATTATCTGTCATAGGAGTGTCAGGAAGGCAGGGACCTCGTCTGTCTTGGTATCACAGCTTCTCAGCATCAAGCACAAGGTGGATACTCAATCAATATCCATTGAATGAAATTAGTCTCAATTTACTTATCTCTCTTTAATGCATCTATCTACCTATCCATCCATCCTTCCACCCACTCTTATCAACCTTCTACCCATTCCTCACCCACCTGCCACCTCCTACCCACCCCCTACTCATCTCCATTCATCCATCTACCCACTCCCTCTCCCCTACCTACCACCTGTCAATCTTCCACCCCCTTTTCTCTCACCCACTCATCCATCCCTCATTGTCCCCTCCCCATCCCTTCTTCCATCCATCCATCCATCCATCCATCCATCCATCCACCCACTTCCTGATTCAGCCAACACTGGCTGGAATTACTTTTGAGTATATACAACAATCTCAGGCCCTCTTATCCTTAACCTTGAGCTCTTTCTCCCATAGGCACGGGTGCTGAGCTTGGAGAGAGTGCTTCCATCCCAATAAATGCCATCAGATCACTCTGCTTATTCAGTCAACCAACAAATGCTGTTCCTCTTGCCAGACCCTGTGCCGGGTGCTGTGAGGTACAGTGAGATGAACAAGGAATGCCTCTGGCCTCAGAAGGCTCCCAGCCTGATGGACAGGTAAAACAGGCACACAAAGTATCAGAGCTTTTTTTTTTTTTAATTGAGCACCTACTGTGTATCAGACCCTGTGTCTAGCATGTACACATCTGCTCTCTTTAATTCCCAACATCAAAGGGAATTATTATCCTGCAAAGGGAGTATTATTATCCCCACTTCACAGATGCAGAAGCTGGGAATAAGAGAGGTTAAATGTGCCCAATGCCACACAGTGGCATGGTGGCAGAGCTAGTTTTCTACCCAGCCCCTGAACACCCACTGTTCTAGGCTACCCTAGATGCCAGGCGGAAACACAGCGTTCCAGAACATACCACAAATATACTGGGGTTTACATGAGGGAGAAACCACTTCCAACTTCAAATGATCAGGGGAGGCTTCCTGGAGGAAGTCTCCTTTAGGCTGGACCTCAAGGTCTTCTAAGAGTCTTCCAGGGTCTTAGAAGGAGACTCAGGAAATGTCCTGGGTCACTGGGTGAGGTGATAAAAAGAGGGCTTGAGCCATTCATTGCTCAGCTGTGTGTCCTAAGCAAGTCACTCAGACTCTCTGAGCTTCAGTTTCCTTACTTGTAAAATGGACGTGACAATACCTGCTTCACAGTGTGGTTGTGAGAATAAACATTTTTTAACATCTGGAGCATTTTTCCCTTAGGGCAGGGTTTCTCAACAGTGACACTACTGACATTTTGGACCAGACAGTTTTTTGTTTTGGGGGCTGTCCCGGGCACTGGAGGATGTTTAGCAGCATCTCTGGCCTCTACACATTAGAGGCAAGTAGCTCAACTGAACCAAAAACATTGGGACATTTGTAACAAGTAAAAATGTCCCTAGAAATTGCCAAATGGCCCCTGGGAGAGCAAAATTACTCACTGAGGACCACTACTCTAGAGATATCCAGAGATATCCACACAGCTCCCTCCCTCAGCCTCCTCCAAACTGTGCAAAGCCACCTACTGAGTGGGCTTCCCTAACCCCCTATTTAAAATGTCAACACCTCTCTTTCCTGCTCTCTATTTTTCTTTTCTCTTTCTTTCTCTTTCTTTCTGCCTGCCTGCCTGCCTTTCCTTCTTTTCCTTTCTTCCTTCCTTCCTTCCTTCCTTCCTTCCTCCCTCCCTCCCTCCCTCTCTCTCTCTCTCTTTCTCTCTCTCTCTCTCTCTCTCTCTCTCTCTTTCTCTCTTTCTCTCTCTCTCTCTTTCTTTCTTTCTTTCTTTCTTTCTTTCTTTCTTTCTCTTTCTTTCTTTCTTTCTTTTTTCTTTCTTTTCTTTCTTTCTTTCTCTCTTTCTTTCTTTTTCTTTCTTTCTTTCTTTCTTTCTTTCTCGCTCTGTCACCCAGGCTGGAGTGCAGTGGCACAATCTCGGCTCACTCCAACCTCTGCCTCCCAGGTTCAAGTGATTCTCCTGCCTCAGCCTCCCAAGTAGCTGGGACTACAGGCACGCACCACCACACCCAGCTGATTTTGTATTTTTAGTAGAGACAGGGTTTCACGATGTTGGCCAGTCTGGTCTTGAACTCCTGACCTCAGGTGATCTGCCCACCTTGGCCTCCCAATGTGCTGGGATTACAGGCATGAGCCCCTGCGCCCAGCCACCCCTCTCTATTTTTTGATCACAGTGCCTTTTCTCCTTCCAACAGATCACATTGTTTACTGATTTACTTTGTGTATTATCTGTCCTCTTTAGTTGAATTACAGCACCCCGAGGGCTGAGGTCCTTGGCTGTTTTATTTATTGATGCTGCCCCAGTACTTGGTACCAGGCTTGTCACACAGTAGGTGTCCAATAAGTATTTGTTGAATGAATGGACAAAATGCCCAAGCAAGCGCTTTGTGACATAATACCTTAACCAACAGAAAAATGGAGGAATTTTTATTTAAATTTCACAGGGGCCTGGATCTGACACTCTTGAATTTATCCTCCCATGCCCTCTCCATCCACCCCCACTGCTAATGAGCGGGGTAGGCTATAGGAGCTTAAAACAGATTCGTTTTTTTCTCTTTCTTGCCAGGACTTGAGTGGGAGTGAATGCGTCAGCTTTTGGAGTGGGGGGGGGCAATGCTCTGCACTGACTCGTAGCTGCAGGTTCGTTATATAAAGCACAGAAGCCTCCTGCCTGACACAGCCCCACAAACCCACATTTGGGGACTGACGCAGCTGCCCCACACTAGTCAGGGCAGCAGCTACGAACCCCCCAGCCTCCCCTCGGGGTCTCTCTGGCTTCCAAACCACCCCCTCATCCTAAAGGGGCTCCCAAGGGCCTCTTGGAGCCATACATGTCAGCCATACATGTCAGCCATACATTCCAAGGTGAGCCTGGTCAAATGCCCAGTTTTACAGGAGGAGAAACTGAGGCTGAGAAAGGTTCCAGTAATCCCCAGGATCTTCCAGTAAAGCCAATGACCAAGATGAGGGCAGAAGCCTCAGGCTGCTAGTCAGAGCACCCAGAGCCCCCCAGGGCCCCTTTCCATCCTGGCCTAGGACCCTTTCCCCTCTAAGCTTAGTAAAAGTGATCCTCCTCCGCCACCCTCTTCAAAACACCCCCATAAGCACTGGAGCCTCATCACCCTCCCCCACCCCACCGGAGAGGTAATAGCTAGATTTAAAGATGCAGCAGCTGGGACCAGAGGAGGCAAGACCCTGCTCAGGGTCACACAGCAAGACTGTGGCAAAGCAGCCGCCATCTGACTCCCCACTTTCCAGTTCTCACTGTCCCCAGACACCTCAGGCTTCAGGGCCCAATCCCAGAAAGCAGGCAGCCAGCAGGAATTCGCCTCCACCATCCCCACGTGCCCACCCACCCACGCACCTGCTCCCTGCCCCAGGGTGAGTTTGCTCCATGGAAATATCTGGAAGCTGGGGACTACTTCTCATTTTCCTGGACTTGCTGTGTGCCCACAGGCAAAGTCTCACCTTCTCTGAATGTCACCCTGCCGGATGGTGGGGGCAATCCCTGAGGAGGGGGCTGGCTAGCGGTTCATGGAGGTGGTGTGGCCCACAGAGGTGGTGAGCGTGCATCTGTGCTCTCTTCTGCATTCAGTCCCATGAGTCTTACCCTCTCCTGCCCTACTTGCTGGCTGTGCATCCTCAGGCCAGTTTCTAAACCTCTCTGGGCCTCCATCTTATCCATATCAGGTAGGATGGTCAATTATGTACCCCTACCAGGTCCTGGGCATCAGTAAGCAAGTGACTAGAGGCAAACGCGTTTTCTACACTGTGCTTGGAGGAGGAAGACAGCATGATGGGTAGACAGGCAGAGCAACTGGGGCTACAGACCAGCACAGCAGCGGCAAGCCCCAACCATGAGCTGCAGTGACCTTGACCTTCACTGGTCCTGGGCCCCCTAATCCTGGGGGCTTTGAAAACAGGGCAGGAGAAAGTCCCAACTGTGGCCTGGCCCAGGGCCAGGGCTGCGGGTTACACATTAATGCTGGTTGGAAAGAGCCAGCCACTGTCAGCCAGGTCCTCCCACCCCAGTGCCCACCAGGAGCCTCTGCAGGCTCCCTCTACCCCCACCCTCCTGGCACACCCACACCTGGCTCCCTTATGCCACCCACACCACCTCTCTGTGCTTCCAGGCACAGCCACTTTGCTCGCTGGGTCAGGCAGAGCAGTCGCTGGCAAGTGGAAATCTGTCCAGTGCTGCATCTGGGGAAAGGAAGGTGCCCAGCCCCCTCCTGCACATCCCTGGATAGGGGCTGCCACCGGCCTTGAGCTTTACCCAGACAGGGTCTGGGGCCCCTGATGTCAGGCTTGAGGGACAGACAAGGGGCTGGGGGCTCCCCACCGGGGGCTCCCCACCCTGTTCGTGCCCAAGTCCAGGGCCCACTTACCAGCCAGCAGGACAGTCAGATGGCAGAGGGTGGCCAAGTGGAGCAGCCACGAGAGAGATATCGGAGCCATGGCTGAGGGTGGGCGAGAGTCCGGGCAGGGGCCAGGGCAGGCGGCTAGAGCCAGGCGGCAGAGCTTAGTGCTGTCCCTTCGCCACCGCCGCCGCCAGAGCTCTGTGGCTTTTTATAATGGTGCTGGCTGCCTCCGCCTCCAGCCCCCGCAGGCAGGAGGGTGGGAGGAGAGAGGAAGGGAGCCAGTGTGCAGCCACTGGATTCCTCGGGATGTTGCCAAGGAACCAAGCCGGCTCTGTGGCCCTGGGCTTCTCATCATCCTAGGCTTGTCATACTGGGACCTTCCCTGGGAGGCTGTACCGGGCCTGCCTGGGTACAAAGGCCTCCTCTCCTGCCACGAGCTGGGAACATGCCCTAGGATGTGGCCTGGGGCCCTCGCTCCTAAGTGGGCAACACACAAAAGGCCAGCAGGCTGTGGAATAGAGAGCGGGGCGCCAAGGGGCCGGGAGGGACTCAGGGCCCCTCCATTCTGGGTCTGACAAGCTCTTCTTTGATCCAGGGAATGCCTTGCCCACATCAGGATGGACCCCCAAATTTCCCCTCTCAGAATCCCAGGCTCCTGGAGGACCTTGTTGATCTATGCATCTCCAGAGTCTGGCAGGGAGCCTGAAGTCGGCAGGGGCTTGCTGCAGGGTCTGCTGAAAGAAGGACTGAGTCCAGCTTCATATGGATAGATGGGGAAACTGAGGCCCGGAGCCACCCTAGGTCATCCACAGCATCAGAGTGGAGAACCCCCCTCCCACCACCATGATGAGTAGAATGTGGAAAGCTCAGGACCCAGGAGAGAGCCCTGGCCTCCCTGCCTCCACCTCCCAGCCTCCTGCTCCCTGCTGTGCACCCACTCCCACCTCTGCTCTGGCCCCTGCTAGCGCAAAGAACAATGTGGCTGCCAACCCATCCCTGATAACGCTGTGGCTCTTGGCTCCTCAGCTCTGCAGTCGTGCCCTGGATAAGCCTTGCCTCTCATGGGGCCTGAGTTCTCTATCTGCCCAAGGAGAACATCGGGCTAGTGCACTGTGGAGGGGGCTTCCCAGCACTGGCCCTCCAAGGTCATTCTCCATGAGAGGTGGCAACAGGACCACACAGGGCCAGCCAACAGGCTCTCACCAAAGGGTGCAGAGGCTTGCCAGCCTTGGGAGCACATTAAAACACAGTCTGCCTTCATGGCAGCCTTCCCTAAAGGCAATGGCAACAATTCCTGAGACTCTAGAAGAGTCAGCAGCTCCGCCTTGGGCCAGGACTGAGCTGTACTGGTATCTCCGGGCTGCCAATCTGAGGGAAACTGGTTGTGGAGCCAGCATCCCGCACTATGAGCCAGTTGGGTTGGGCAGAGGGGCTACAGATCCCAAGGCCAGGGACCTCTCTCTCCTCAACCACCCCCTACCCAATGGGCTGCCTGGGGCATGGGGTTAGGGGTTAGGAGGCTAGAGTCTTCTTAAAGTAGCAGAGCACCCTTGGCAGGGGCCAAGGTCCACTCGTGCTCAGAGAATCTGTCCTGGCCTGTGCACATGCGAAGCGAGTAGCCTTCTCATTCCCAATGTCCAATCCCTCTTTTTATAACTGAGGAAACTGAGGCCCAGAGAGGGACAAGGAGGGATAAAAACTGAGGTTGTGTTCTTTCTGCTCTGTTTATGTAAGAACAAAGGAGGAGGCCAAGTGCAGTGGCTCACACCTGTAATCCCAGCACTTTGGGAGGCCAAGGTGGGTGGATCACCTGAGGTCAGGAGTTCGAGACCAGCCTGGCCAACATGGTGAAACCTCGTCTGTACTAAAAATACAAAAACTAGCTGGGTGTGGTGCACACCTGTAATCCCAGCTACTTGGGAGGCTGAGGCAGGAGAATCACTTGAACCTGGGAGGCAGAGGTTGCAGTGAGCCAAGATCATGCTACTGCACTCCAGCCTGGGTGACAGAGTGAGACTCTGTCTAAAAAAAAAAAAGAAAAAAAGAACAGAAGAGGAAGAAGGGGCGGGGGTGGGAGGAAAAAGAGAGGGAGAAGGGGAAAGAGGAGAAAAAGAGAGAGAAGCAGGGAGGAAGGGGTGAAAGGAAGAGAGGGGAGGAGGGAGAAGGCGGAGAGGAAGAAGGCAGCCACCCTGGGAAGCGCTACACCTCACGAAGGACAGGAGCCAGGTGGGGCAAGTACTGGGGAGTAGAGGCCCTTATTCCCTGGCCCCCCACTGTGCTCCAAATAAGTATTTAGAAAGCAAGGGCTTTGGGGCTGGGCACGGTGGCTCACGCCTATAATCCCAGCAGTTTGGGAGGCCGAGGCAGGTGGATCACCTGAGCTCAGGAGTTTGAGACCAGCCCGGCCAACATGGTGAAACCCTGTCTCTACTAAAAACACAAAAAATTAGTCAAGTGTGGTGGCAGATGCCTGTAATCCCAGCTACTTGGGAGGCTGAGGCAGGAGAATTGCTTGAATCCGGGAAGCGGAGGTTGCAGTGAGCCGAGATTGCAACACTGCACTCCAGCCTGGGCAACAAGAGTGAAACTCTGCCTCAAACAAACAAACAGACAAAACCTCTACAACCAATGATTGGTATTTTTAAATAATTGTTTTATCTTTTCTATTTTTATTTTTTAGCCAAACCATTGCAAAGTAAATTATAGATGCTTGACACTTTGCCCCTAAATATTCCAGCATGCATCTCCTCTGAATAAAGCTATTGTCTTACATAAATATAATATCATTATCCCATCTAACAAAATTAACAATAATTCCTATATGTCATCTAACACCCAGTTCATATCCAAATTTCTCTAATTGTCCCAAAATGTATTTCGTAGTTTCTCCTCTCTCCTTCTTTCCTTCTTTCTGCCTCCTTTCTTCTCTCCCTCACACCCTTTCTTTTTATTTTATTTATTTTTTTGAGACAGGGTCCCTCTCTGTCACCCAGGTGAGCGTGCAGTGGTATAATCTCAGCTCACTACAGCCTCGACCTCCCAGGCACAAGAGATCCTCCCAGCTCAACTTCCCAAGTAGCTGGGACCACAGGCTCATGCCACCATGCCTGGCTAGTTACTGTGTTTTTGTTGTTGTTGTTGTTGTAGAGACAGGGTTTTCCCGTGTTGCACAAGCTGGTCTCAAACTCCTGGCCTCCAGCAATCCGTCCACCTTGGCCTCCCAAAGTGCTGGAATTATAAGCATGAGCTACCACACCTGGCGCCTCCCTTCCTTCTTTCTTTCCTTTATTCCCTCCTTTCTTTTATTTTTTTAACCAGGATCCGATCTAGGTTCATGCACTGCATATGGGTATTTCTTTTGAGTCTACATAGACCACTTGCATAGACCACTTTTTAATGACTTCAACTTTCTTAAGAGTCAAGTCGGCTGGGTTCAGTGTCTCACGCCTGTAATCCTAGCACTTTGGGAGGACAAGGTGAGCAGATCACTTGAGGTCAGGAGTTCGAGACTAGCCTAGCCAACATGGTGAAACTCCGTCTCTACTAAAAATACAAAAATTAGCTGGGCATGGTGGCATGTGCCTATAATCCCAGCCACTTGGAAGGCTGAGGCTAGGGAACTGCTTGAACCTTGGAGGTGGAGGTTGCTGCCCTCCAGCCTGGGTGGCAGAGTGAGACTCTGTCTCAAAAAAAAAAAGAAAAGAAAAAAAAGAGCAAAGTCAAGTCCATTGTCTTATACAATGTTCTCATTCTTAATTTAGTTATTTCCTTGTGATGTCACCTAATTTGTTCCTCTATCCTATTTATTTCCTGTAAACTGAGAGTTAGATCTAAAGGCTTGATTAGACCCAGGCTACATACTCTTGGCAAGAATCTATTATGAGTAATACCGTACACTTCACAAGCACCAGTTGCTCCACTTTTCCTTGGATGGATGGGATTGATGGATCGACGGGTGATTGTTAGACATCTTTATTGTAGAAGAATTAGTCCCCTTGTGATTTGCAAGTCAGTTGTGGCATGCTGGGCTGGCACCCTGTCGCATGAACCTAGGCAGGATTTTGACAGACCATTCCAGGCAGAGGTGAAAGCCTCACCAAGGTGGAAGGCACAGGACGTATTCAGGGGTGGGGAATGGCCCAATGCCATTGGCTCCAATGGAGGCTGCAGCTGGGCCCAACTGCAGAGAACTGTGAAGCGGGAGTGAAGAATGAGAATGCTGTTCACAGGCTGGAGAGAGCTGGGAAGGTCTTGGGCTGAGGGATAACCAGAGTAACGACGAGAAAAAAAAAAAAAAAGGGTAGCACTGGATGCAGAAAGTTTCCTCTGGGGTGGGGTGGGGGTGGTGAGAATGGGGGTGTCCTTGTCCTCACCTTCCACAAGCCCTCAGGTGGCCAAGACCCTGTGCCCCAGGGAGCAGGGAGCCTATGCTGTTCTCTGGGGACACGAGGGACTCCCCCAGCCCCGGAAGTAGCACAGAAACAGCTCTGGAGAGGAGGATGGGGAGATCAGGGCACTCCTGCAGGACCAGGGTTGGAGAAGGGATGGGCATGACCGGGGACCACCCCTGCCGCCACCTCCAAGGCCCCTGGGGCCCCGCCCCTCCCAGTTCTCCCAGCTTATCTTTTCTGGCCAGCAAGGAGGGTTTCCCATGGGTGCTTAGCATTTCCTCTGCCTGTGACCACGTTGGCTGTACCAGAAGGAAGGGGCCTGGGTCCCTGAAATGACCATGTGGAAGGTTGCCTAAGACTGAGAATGCCTGATTAGACTTCGTGTGAGAAGAAATAGCTTCTGATGAGTTGAGCCACTGAGATTTGGAGGTGTTTGTTGCAGGACGTAACTTTCCTGACTACTCCCTCCCTTTCTCCAGTGTCTGCCCGTGTGGCGGGAAGGTGAAGGCTGAGTAGTTGAGTGATTATGCTGCTGAAGGCTCGAGACGTGGGGACTGCTTTAATGGTTTATAAAATCCTCCTGACAGCGGGTCCCGAGGTGGGCTGGGAACTCTGGGACAAATGTCTGGGCTTCCCTGTCAGCACCTCTGCAGCCACCTCCCAGGCCCTTGTGTCCAGCCTAGACTCCCACCACTCACTGGGTGAC